AAAAAAAAAAAAAAAATACACATTAGGAAATCTAGCATCCTCTTAAGTTACATGATACTAACAGGAACTTATTATAATTTTGATGTCCAAAATTCTCCAACAAAGCCAGGCGCTAGTGGCTCATGCCTAGAATCCTAGCTGCTTAGGAGGTTGAGAGCTGAGGATTATGGTTCAAAGCTAGCCCTATGAAGGAAAGTCTGTGAGACTCCTATCTACAATTAACTACCTAAAAACTAGAAGTGGAGATATGGCACAAGAAGAGTATTATCCTTGAGCAAAAAAGCTCAGGGATAGTGTTCAGGCCCTGAATCAAACCTCATGACCAAAGGAAAGAACAGAAAAAAACAAAAACAAGAAAAACCCAAAATTCCACTATAATAATCCTAGAAGCCTAGAAGACTATTATCTTACAAAAATGGAGGTACTTTATTTTAGTTTTTCAAAAATTAATTCAGCAAGTTGATATTTTCAATCAAATAACCAGGAAATGTACTTTGCATAATGCTACCACAATTTCTCTTGGCACATAGTACACAATAAATGTACACAACTGGAGAAGAGGCTTTATTGAGGGGATACCAAGTACAAAGCCTTCAGGCAGGCAGGAAGCTCAGGACTCTACTTTAAACAAGCTGGCCAGAGGGTAAGAAGGTAGGGAGACAACACAGAAAAATAGGCCTGCAGGTATGACTATGGTTCTTCATGGGAAATGCTGCCAATGGAAACAGAGGCACAGGAATAGATGTGATAGAATTTATCTTCTCTCCTCTCTCTCCATCCAACATCACAGACTAGGTGGTGAATGGATGGTGAGACCATTTGGATGGCTCTTTATATACTTCAAGTGTAGACTGAGTTAATATCAGTGGGGGGAAAGAGTCTCTTTATCCTTAGATTACAGCGTTCAGAGCCATCACACCAAAACTTGACTTCATGCCAACATCTACTGTTCCTGCGTTGTACTTAACTGCCAAACAGCTTTGCATCCTCTACATACATTACTCAGATAGAAAAGTTCTGGAAATTAAAACACACACACACACAAAGCTCTACAGGAAGGGGGAGAAACAAGAACCATGAACAACATCTAACTCTCTACGCACCGTCAATGCATTTGTTCAGAACTTCCTAGCCACAGAATTCTACCACTGACCATTTGCTCTGATGTACTGTCATCTTCTTTCCCACTTGGTACATAAAAATATGGTTAGTCATTCTAATATTTCATCACCTCCCTAGGTGATTTCAGCACATTTCTCAACCCTCCCTTAATTGTCTTCCACTGATGATACACTGATGCCTTCTTTGCAGAAGAAATGTCCAAATTTCAAACTCAGGGCTAAGACCTCCCATCTTTGGATTCCTGTCATTTCCCATCTAGAAGACAAAGGGAAGGGCTTCATCTGATCAACCACTGAGTCAGCTTCCTCTCTGATGAACAGACTGAATGTCTACTGAATACCATGAGCCCAGAGTTTTAATTCATAGGCGGGTTTATTACTCATTTGTTTAATCAGGTTTACTCATGTCTGGATTCCATGAATACATGGAGGCCTATTCTACAACATCAGTTTCTGAACAAAATTAATGTATAACTGGTTGCCAAATATCTTGGTACTCTGTAAAAACCAGCTCTTTCCAATAAAAGCATCCACACATGGTCCAATTCTTACCAGCATGTACATATTTATAAACTGGTAAGAACAACGGAGTGCGGAGAAGTGTCTACTATTCCCATATCATCATCTATGTTCATCTAGTAAAGTACTTCTTTTATGGGTAAAGTGTTTTAATTGCCAAATCTAGTTAAAAATCAATGGAGTTAAAATATGTTTATACTCTTCTATTCATATGTATGTACACAGATGCACATATATACCCATATACCAATTATGTCAATATGTTTAAGGCAGGGAAAGGAGTTAACGGTGTCAGGTTTAAAGATATTTCTGGCAATAAGAACTTAGTGGAATATACATCTGTAGTCCTTATAATAAACTCTTCAAGAAACAAGAAGAGTGGGAGTGATCATTTAACATAGTTTTCTTAATTTTGTCAGCTAGTATTTTCCCTTTGGTTCATTTGCTTCCATCTATGTGCTCCTTTTCCTTCCTTCCTTCCTTCCTTCCTTCCTTCCTTCCTTCCATCCATTGGTTGTGGGGCCTGAACTCTGGGCTTGGGCGCTGTCCCTCAGCTCTTCAGCCCAAGGCTCTACACCATTTGAGCCACAGCACTACTTCTGCCTTTTTCTGTTTATATGGTGCTAAGGAATCAAACCCAGGGCCTCATGTATGTAAGGCAAGCACTCTACCACTGAGCCACCTTCCTAGCCCCTCCATTTCTTTCTTAAGTTTGCCTCCTCTACTTACTTTTCCATTTCCTATGCCGATCAGCTATGAAGTACTTTTTGGCTCACTTAAATAAAGATCTGACTTTCTAGGTGATCTGATCAGTGTCCTAAAATACTTCATGTTCAACTTGCCCTCTGAAGAATCTTGATGAGTAATTTGTCAACCAAATGTTCCCCAGTCCTCTCCTGACCTCATGTATTAGTAATGAGAGAATCGTGCCTCACACTTATGTCCGACTCATCAACTTCTAGTGTGGTTCTTGCTTTATCTCTTTAATAACAACTTGGTCTAGCAATTCCCCTTCCAAAAGAGCCTATTAACCCTGGCACACCATCAGCTGCATAAACTGGTCAATCAGCTTGAAGCACAGAAAAATAACATGTACCTACTGATTATGGTTTGAAGTTGCCATCTTTTCTAGAAAATTTTATTTCCATCTGAGATGTTTAGTCTATTTTGGCTTCTATACAACATGTAACAGAATTCTGCCGAAACGGCAATCCATATCTACCCATATTTTGTGGTCAAACGGGAGAGCAACATACACAGAGCCTGGTTAGGAAGTAAATTTGAGGCTATAAATGACTAGACCAGAACCAGCTTAATCATCAAATCTAGGATCTTTCCCTTTGAAACAGATTTGATGCAACATTCCATTGTGACCACTAGGCATAAATTCTAGAGGCTTTGGTTTTCAGGGTTAGCATCTAAGTTGGAACATTTTTTACAATGAATCATATTCTTCTGAGTTTCAAACCTTCTTCGGAATCTTTCTCTTACTTTTCTTTCTCCGTCTGTAACTCCCTCTAACATGAGTGTGAAAAATGAGAAGAAAAGTCTCCACTTCTTAGGCATTTTGTTAGTGACCATGAGCTGGGAACTCATGCCTGTAATCCTAGCTACTCAGGAGGCTGAGATTTGAGGATCAGGGTTCAACAGCCAGCCTGGGCAGGAAAGTTAGTGAGACTCTTTATCTCCAATTAACCAACTGAAAGCTAGACATTGAGGTGTTGATCGAGCGACAGGGGGCCAGCCTTGAGCAAAAGACAAGTTAGAGCTCAATGGCCCAAGTTTAAGCCCTACTGTCAGCGCATGCACAGTGCGCGCACACACACACATACACACACACACACACACACACACACACACACACACACACACACGATAAATATTTACACTCAGGATCTGAGACAACAGAACGCTCTATAAGCTTTGGAAACTCCATTCTAAATATGTTACCAAAGCAAAGAGTACTATGTGTGTGTGTATATCTATATCTATATATATGTATATGTATACGTATATGTAAATGTACATGAGTCAGAAGTTCTGCTTTAGCCAGATAAGGCTAAGTCTCACTAAAAGAGCCAGCCCTACCTTGCACTGTTATCCAAGCAGAGGTATTCCCTCGGGTCAGCAGCACTGGAGTTGGTCGTTTTGACACCTTTGTCAATAAATAAGCCAGCCTGAAATATACAATCATGTGCTGAAATGAATATGAATCCCAAAACACAATAATGAGCCATAAAAGTCATCATTTGTTGCTTTTACCCAAAAGTGAGTGGAAAAGAATAGAGACAAGCAGCAAAGAAATGATGAAAAATAACTATTTTCCTGTTATTTGACACATCCTGTAATTCAGTAATTATTTAGTGCCTACTTGAAGGTCTATACAATGAACAAGTGAAATCTATTTCCTGCTGTTAGTGATACAAAATCTATCATGAAAATATGCAAATATTTACAAGATGAGATATACATAGGAAAGAAAATAGAGGAGGTGCTAGAAGCAAGAAACAAGGACTTCTAGATGAGGCTTGTTTCATAGAGGAAAAGAATTTCTGGAATGTCTCCTTAAAGAAGTAATCTCCTAAACCTAAACCTGAAAGGATGGAGAAAGCTAACAAAGCAAAAGAACACGTTAGTGGAGGAGGAGGAAGCAGGTTAAAAAACCCAAAGATACCCAAGGAAATAGTTCACACAGAAATCAAGATTAGAGAGAATATAGAATGCCTGGGGGGTGGGGGAGGAGGGAAAGAAGTCCTGGATGGACAAATAAGAATGTCCAGGAAGCCACGCACCGGTGGCTCACGCCTGTCATCCTAGCTACTTGGGAGGCTGAGATCTGAGGACCACGGTTCAAAGCCAGACCAGGCAGGAAAGTCCGTGAGACTCTTATCTCCAATATCCTACCAGAAAACCGGAAATGGCGCTGTGGCTCAAGTGGTAGAGCGCTCGCCTTGAGCTGAAAAGCTGAGAGACAGTGCCCAGGCCCAGAGTTCAAGCCCCACGACCGACCAACAACAACAAAGAAAAAAAGTCCAGGAAAAAAGATAAGGAAGAAGATTACAAGGAGCACATGTAAGATCACACAGGACTGGGGCTAGGAATGTGGCTTAGCAGTGGAGTTCTTGCCCAGCATGCATGAAGCCCTGGGTTCAATTCCTCAGTACCAAATAAACAGAAAAGGCCAGAAGTAATGCTATGGCTCAAGTGGTAGAGTGCTAGCCTTAAGCAAAAGAAGCTCAGGGACAGCACCGGGGCCCTGAGTTCAAGCCCCAGGAGTGGCAAAAAGAAAAAACAAGCAAAAAAAAAGATCACACAAGATTAAAATGTTGTAAGAATCGAGACAATGGGAATTTAATAAAGGCATCACAGTCAACTACATTTTTAGAATGAAATTATATTGTTTTCTGAAGAAATGGATGGAACTGGAGATTGCCATGTCAAATGACATAAGCCAGGCCCACGAGTACTACGTTTGTCTCTCACAATGGGAGCTAGAGGAAAATAAACTAAACCCTCAAGTTCAGCTGGACAGGTGGGAAGGGATGGGAGGAAAGGAAAGAGGGAAAAGAACGAGTCAAACAGAGGTGAATACGACTGACGCATGTCCACAGGTATAGATGAAAAAAAGCAGCGAAATGAAGGCCCTGACTATGGACAGTTGAAGGTATGCCCACAAAAATTGCAAAACATCCATAAAATTAAAACAAAAGGCTGCAAGCGCAATCTCTTGCTCTCTCCTATTCTCTCTTTAACCTTTTGCCTTATGGCCTGGCCACAGGACCCGGAGCAGATGATGGCTCCATCATCTTAATCTTGATCTGGGTTTCTCAATCACCAGAACCACGAGCCAAATACATTTTTGTTCATGATACCCAATTTGTGATACTCTGTTAGAGTAAAATGGAAAGGATTAAGACATAATCCCAGAATCCTTTACCCTAAAAATCATAGGAACTGAGGGTTCAAATGTGAGAACGTACCTTAAAACTTGAGTGGACTCTGTTGTTATAAAATATACCCAGAGGAGTGAGTTCGGGTTTCTCCAAGAGCTGCACTCCACTGGACTCCCCAGTAGGTTCCTTGTGGAACAAATACCATATTCCAGCATCCTATAAATCAGACGACAAGTTCATTAAAGGCCTTTATTTATTAAAACAACAACAACAACACTTTATAAACATCCTCATAACCTGCTTTGCAAGCAGGCTCATCTTTGTGGTACCAAGTTTCATTGCTTCAGGTTTGGAATTGGTTAGGGAGAGCTATGTACATATCTAGCATTCACTAGTAGTTATATCCAGGCCGTTTGTTTAAAAAAGCAAATTTCATTTTGCTTGCAGAATTGAAGGAAAGAAACAACTGGCTGGTACTAAAAGTTCTCTTGAAGACAAATTTTCCCATCATTATCTACTTTAAAACATTCTGCAGCATGAGAAGCAAATCGGACTTCCATGTGGCCCAGGACAGTACCGCTTTTAAGCAATGTGGTTTGTTTATTTACCTACAAACCTGATCAATACGTGAGTCATGTCTATTAAACAACGAGCCACCAACTCCCAGGACTCACTGACTTCTTTCAAACAACTCCAATCCCCTTCCTGACCTGAGGCAAATTTTTGCCAGAAAAAAAACACACACACACACACACACACACACCACATGCATGAATCAGGATGCTGTTTCAGGCAGGGACCTTGTCTATTCAATTTCAGGATCACTGAACATAACGGGTACAGAACAGTTTAAAACTTTCTGACACAAAATGAAATATATATTTTTTTAAAAAGTGGAAATATTCTCACCACAAAAGTTTTTATCTGCTTTTGCAATTGAATTAAAGATCAGCCTGATGTGAAGGACAGCTTCCCAATGTGGAACTTGTGTTAAACAGGTTGTTAAAACAACATACAAGTACAACTTTTTATATACATTCATTTCATGCCCTCTAAAATATCCTTCAACAATTCAGTCTAATGAGAAATACAGACGTCAATAACGGTCGTTTTTAACAAATTTTCCATGATGAGAGTTTACAAATGGGTCTTGATAGAAATAAGCTACTTTGAAAAATGTTTACCGCCTCAACTTTTTTGGATACAATACAGAAATAGCTTGAAGGCCTGGCAAGAAGGGTAGATACCCAACTCCTCCAAGCTGAGGGCAGCGCAGACCCTCCCAGGAGGCAATGGGGGGGGAGGCCACACAAGAGGGACAGCTGTTTCTTATAAAACACTGTCTTGTCAAAATAGGTAAAAAGAGCTTTGTAGGAGGCAACGGAAAGGTACAATGAAGAATCAGCTTGATTTATTCTGAGAGGAAAAATCTGCCCAAACACTAGCCAAACTGGAGCAGAGTTTTTTTTTTTTTTAAGGGAAAGGAAAGAAGCCATACAATACAATCAAGAATATATGTGAAAAAATTAAAATAAAAAAGAATATACGTGAGAAAAAAAGAATATGCATGAGATATTTTCAACTTTCTCACCTAAGCCCCAGAAAGGACACCTGGCAACCATACTTGACATTGTCTATTTGCATTTTGCTTCATTTTCAACCCCTTACTTCTGGAAAGGGCAGAGTGGAAACTACTACTGACTAGCAAGGCAAAGTAAGAAAATCTATACATCCACCTCCAGCCATAGCTTTCTCATTAGAAACACACAGCACAAACCCAAGGAACTCAACAAATACTTGATGGAAAGTAGATGAATAAAAATGCTGAAATGAAGCCAGGCACGGTGGCTCACGCCTGTAATCCTAGCTACTCAGGAGGCTGAGATCTGAGGATCGAGGTTCAAAGCCAGGCAGGGCAGGAAAGTCCATGAGACTCTCATCTCCAATAAACCGCCAGAAAACCAGAAATGGCGCTATGGCTCAAGTGGTAGAGTGATCGCCTTGAGCTGAAGAGCACAGGGACAGTGCCCAGGTCCAGAGTTTAAGCCCCATGACCAACAAAAAAATAAAAAATAAAAAAACTAAATGCTGAAATGAATTGTCCAGGCCTTTGCTCTATCATGCAAAAAAATTTAAACATATGGGTTTTTAAGGGAAATCACAGATAGATGTTCAGCCATCACCCATGATCAACTATGTTCTTGTTATTACAAAAAAAAAACATTTCCTTTCAGCTACTTAGTCCTTGGAAATGATACTGGGTATATCTTTCCTTTTACAATGCTATACAGTCGCAAGGTACACACGAATAGTTAGAAATTACTGCATTATTCACAGCCATGTAATGTAGTTGTAGGTACAATCTTACAGTATAATGTCCTAAAAGATTCATTTCTATTATAAATTAATAGCTGTGAGTCATATTCATTTATGAAGATAAATGTTCCCAAGCTTATCCAGGGGACATTTCTACTATTTAAAAATATTCCATTTCCATTTGTATGTGGGAGGGAGGTATCTCAACTCAAGGTACATACTAATTCATGGTAAGTAGCTGAGTTTTTAGCTGCTTTACCAAGGAAAAGAAATCCCTAAAATACATCACAACTGTGTTTATCATAGAGATGGAATCCCTAAAATACATGTTCTACAGATTAAACTGCTGTGCATTGTAAGACTTTCTTTAACACTGAAAGTTAAAATTATCAATCACTTGGCCTCATGAGATTTAGATATGAGAAAACCAGAAGAAAGAATTTTACATAACATACCAACAATCTACTCTTAAGATGATATACCCTTAGTTCAGATTTCCTTTTTCCCTTTATTTGTTGTCTGTTCATAATAGACTTATAGATACAATCTGGCCCAAAAGAACTTGAAGAGATGAAGAGCAACCTCAGCCACTTCCTGCTGTCAATTAGATAAGCAGTATCAAAAACAAAAATACTATCAGGAGCCAGGCAACAGTGGCTCGTGCCTGTATTCCTAGCAACTCTGGAGGCTGAGATCTAGGATCACCATTTGCAGCCAGCCCAGGCAGGAAAGCCCATGAGACTCTTATCTCTAATTAATCAGCTGGAAGTACAGCTGTGGCTCAAATGATAGGGTGCTATCCTTGAGCAAAAAAGCTCAGGGACAGCGCCTAAGCCCTGAGTTCAAGCTCCAAGACCAACACCAACAAAACACACCAACTTAAGTTCCATCAGCACACAATGACATCACAGCCATCTACACCAGAGCATTCATATACATGACAGCAAAGAAATGGGAACACACTTGAGTATGATTTACCTGGGAGCCTGCTGCTGCATTATTAATCAGGTTGTTGTTGGGATGAGCAATCCAGAAAGTTGAAACAGCCCTGCAAGGTAATTCAAATAGTCTTCATGAAAGATCCTGCCTACTAAACATTTCTCCTATCTTCCCCATTCCACATGAGTTTTCCTCTCTCTCAGCTAATTACTCACATACAGTCTGTAGCAGGTACAGGAATGTAGTTCCCAAACACTTTATCTCGGATAGTGGTGCACATGGAGTTGTTCCGGTCAGTGGGAAGGAGAGTCCCGGGCTTGGTAAGGAGGCCCAGATTGTGGAACAAAGTATTTCTCTGCTCAAGACCATCTTCCAAGAAGAAACAGTGACCTAGCGTGTCAAATCCAATGGTGTCTCTTATCTGCAGATACACAAATGGGTGATGTCACTTCCAAACTGGGCTTTAAGTGACAACAGCTACTGTATAGCAGGTTCAGTGTAAATACAAATCATCATCATCATCATCATCATCGCCCCAAACATACATCAGATTCCATTTCTTGCTTAAGAGATTAATTTGGATGGCTTCCTTCAAACATCCCAGAAAGAAGTTAAGAGTGTACAAGGGGTACAGTTGTTTGCTTATGTCAACACTGAGAAGTCATGAGAATGAAGACACATTAAGTTAACAGTGACAAATAACCCGTGTCTGCAGGAGCGAGGCTACTCACCAGCAAGCCGTTGGTCCCATGCACGGTGATGCACCGTGAGAAGCAGTGATGAATAGACAAGCCATCCACAGATGTGGGGTGTGTGTACCCGCCTTTGTAATCCACATCTCCACACAGGTGAAAATGAACAGGATATTTGCCCAGTTGCTGCTGACCCATGTGTTTCAATTCCACGTAGGAAAGATGGACAGAAGTAAAATTTTTCTTTATCTACAAGGCAAGGTACTAGTGTCAGAGTAGGAAAATAGCCACACACACACACACACACACACACACACACACTGTTCGAACACAAAATCTCTGATAGAAAACACACATCCCTCCTCCCCCGCCCCTCTTTCTTGAGACAGGTCTTGCTGTATAATCTAGGCAAGACTTCAACTTGTAATCCTCCTACCTCAGCCTCCTGAGTGTTAGGATTATAAGCATGTACCACCACATTCAGCAAGACATTTCTTATGCACATAGTTTGCCCAGATCCCTAGTTAATTAATAGCTTAGAGATAATAATTTACATGGGCAAATGCTTTTAAAAGACATACAACAGGTTTTTGTTGATTTTTTTTTTGTTTACTTTTTTGTTTTTTTGGTGCTGGTCTTGAGGATTGAACCTGGGGCCGGGGCACTGTCCCTCTGCTCTTTTTGCTCAAGGCTAGCGCTCTACCACTTTGAGCCACAGATCCACTTCTGGTTTTCTGGTGGCTAATAGGAGATAAAGAATCTCATGGACTTTCCTGCCCAGACTTTTTGAACCATAATACTCAGATCTCAGCCTCCTGAGTAGCCAGGATTACAAGCATTGTAATTAGTGCCCAGCTAAAAGTTTTTAACTAGGAGCAAAGGCAGATGTAACCAGGAAAGCTGCAAAAATGGTTTCTGAATATGTTTTGATTTGCTCAGAACAGATGACTGACATGGAGTTATAGTCTAGTAAAACATTGTTAATTTAAAAATACTGCTGAGCGTTGGTGGCTTACCCTGTAATCTTAGCTACTCAGGAGACTGAGATCTGAGGATCATGGTTCAAAACCCAGCCCAGGCAAGAGACTCTTACCTTCAATTAGCCACCAGAACACAGGAAATGGTGCTGTGGCTCAAAGTGGTTGAACACTAGCCTTGAGCAAAAAGAGCACAGGGACTGCACCCAGGCCCCAAGTTCAAGCCCCACGACAGAAGGCAAAAGAAAGCATTTACATTTAATATATCTAGTCCATTGAACATTCAGACTTAACAGCACTGTAGTGTCTGCTTGTAATAGAGTGGCTGAAGAGATGCAGCTTGCAGCGACTACGCAGTATCTCCAGAGGGTCAGATGGTTTATTAGCAGCCAGGGAAAAGATCAGAATCCAAACTTTAAAGTAAGGTGTCTGTGCAATGTACAGCACTATGTACCGGTGAAAACTCAAGTCAGTATTGAGTCAAATCTTGGGTTATATGTATTTTGGTCAACCCCAGTCTCAGTGTCATCTTGTTCTTTCATTTCTGTCACCATCACCATCGTTTGATAGTTACTGATTGTGAAAGCTTCCCCCAGTGTATTTTTTGTTTGTTTACTTTTGTTTGTGTGGATACTGAGACTTGAACTCAGAGCCTGGGTGTTGTCCTTTAGCTTTTTTGCTCAAGGCTGGCACTCTACCAGTTGAGTTCCACTTCCATGTCTGGATTTTTGGTGTTTAATTGGGGACAGTCACACAGACTTTTCTGGTGAAGCCAGCTTTGAACAGCGATGCTTACATTTTGGCCTCTCTAGTAGCTAGGATTACATACAGACATTGAGCCATCGACACCGGATTTCCTCGAATGCTTAGTTACCATAGTTTTGTTTGTATAAGGTCTTTGAAAATTTCCCCAGTGATCCAAAATTTGAGCACTCAAAAACTTTAAATATTTCATTCTCCATTGTATAGCTAACAACAAAGGGAATAATGCTGACCAACATTTGTGAACCAGTGAAACACAAACCTGGCTAATAATCAGAGGCTACTCAATGAACAAAGGAACTTAAAACACATGTAGCCAACATGTGGACCACAAGTCCACTAATTTACTAATTAGAATATGGCCTACCACACACCAAGTGCCAAACAGTTGTGGCACCATAAAAATTTACAGGAACATACTTTGAATATTACACCGCTATTTCTTACCCTTTAGAGATAGCATGCTCCTAAAGAACCAATAGAGCCCTTCTGAAATTCCATGTATGGATACCAAGATCATTGTTTTTGTCTCTATAAAATTGGATTCTCCCAAATATATTCATTTAATTTTTGTTGTGTTTTTGGTTTTTTGCCTGGGCCTTGAACTCAGGGCCTGGGCACTGTCCCTGAGCTTCTTTTGCCCAGGATAGCACTTTAACACTTCATCCACAGCGCCACTTCTGTGCATGTGGTACTGAGGAATCGAACCTGGGACTTCATGCATGCTAGGCAAGCACTCTACCACATTCCCAGCCCTCATTTAATTCTTTGTTTGTTTATTTGGGTCTGGTCATGGGGCCTGAACTCTGGGCCTGGGCACTGTCCCTCAGCTCTTCAGCTCAAGGCTAGCGCTCTACCACTTGAGCCACAGCGCCACTTCCGGCTTTTTTCTTTTTGCTTATGTGGTGCTGAGGAATCGAACCCAGGGCCTCAGGCATGCAAGGCAAGCGCTCTACCACTGAGCCACCTTCCCAGCCCCTTCATAGAGTATTATTATGCATTCTTTTCCATCTCTCCCTTCCCTTTGCTACTTGTACCTTCCTTAAAAGCCCTCTAATAATGAGCTATTCTCTGATGGTCTTACATAAACTCAGGAAGGAAAAACACAAATAAATCATGGGAGTGGAGTTCATGGAAACTCATCACATAGACTTATGAACAAGAGTGGGAATTTCCAGAAAACATTAATACCAGATGGGAATCTTTATAACTTTGGAGCTTCTCCTTTTATGCTTTTTTTTTTTTTTGCTTATGCCTAGCATTATCAAGAGAAGGAGAAGTATCAGACTGAATGAAGTATAGAGGGGGAAAAATGCCAAGCTAATCATTCTGTTTTTTTTCAGCCTGGTAGTAATTCTTCCCGTAAACTATAAAGCTCTGGATTTCTGATTACTCCAAATTACTACAAAATGTAGTTAAGTACTTCTTGAAGAGTCGCTATGAACTTCTGTTCTTCACCGTCATTGTTATTACGTTGGGTACATAATCAAGGAAAGCACTGTAACTGAATTACTCAGTGAACCCTTCAAGTGAGGCAACAGACAGACACAGAGGCTTTGCCACACCAGCTCAGAATAAGTAAAAATCTCAGCCATTCTTGCTACATACAGCTTGCAGTGACAATCTCTATCTGAAACCCTGTTCTCAGGATTATAGTTAGGAATAGTCTCTAATGAAAAAAATCTTTGGGTTCCATTTTAAATATTTATTTATTTAGAAACTTAAAAAACATAGAACTTTCTTTTTTTTCTTTTAAATTAAGAAACACTTCTGCCAGGCACTGGTAGCTCACACCTGTAATCCTAGCTACTCGGGAGGCTGAGATCTGAGGATTGTGATTCAAAGCCATCCAGGACAGAAAAGTCCATAAGACTCTTGTCTCCAGTTTAAAAAAAAAAAAAAACTACTCAGAAAAAGCCAGAAGTAGAGCTGTGGCTCAAGGGGAAGAGACTCAACTTAGTGCCCAGGCCCTAAGTTCAAGCCCTAGGACAGGAAAAACAAACAAACAAACAAAAAGAAACACTCCTGGGTGCCAGTGACTCACATGCTTAATCGTAGCTACTCAAGAAACCGAGACCTGGGAGAATCACAATTTGAGCCCAGTCTAGGTAGAAAACTTCAGTAGACATCATGTCTGATTAAAGAGCAAAGAACAAGGGCCAGAGGGGCATGCGTGCTGAAAAAGCTCAAGGTCCTGAGTTTAGATCCCAGTGCAGAAACCCAGTACAGACCAAGTCTCAGAAATCAAACCCCAAGGAAAGAACATGTTTCCTAAGGAGCACTCTGAGCAGCCCACTACCTTTGACTTTGACCTGAAAACGGGTACACTCAGGACAGGGGAGAAGAGTGAACTCCTCTGCTTGGTACATGGAATAGTCAGTGCTTGCAACCACAATCTGGTCTCCAGGTTCCCAGCCGCTGACGTCATCTAGAAGATGAAGCTTCACTCCATCCACAATCTCAACCCGGAAACCCGAAAGAGAAATACCTAAACAAAGAAACAGGTGATGCATGAGCAGTTGTTACGTTGTTTTCCTTCCTAAAAAAAAAAAAAAAAATCACTCCTTTCTATGATTCAAAACTCAGTCAAGATTAATATAATCCAACACATGTTTTTCAACTGCTAACCATGGACGTATTCATCATTCTACAGATATAAATACCAAAAAAAAGTAAAATCGAACCCCACCCTCCGGCCAAAATACAAGTTGTCACTTCAGTAAACTATTCTGCGGTGAGTTTGAAGACTCCCAATCTCCATGTCATTTGCTATATTTTTAACTCGGCTGAAAACTGTAATCCTGCCCCCAGGTAGGCTGAATATGTAACAAGAACATAGCACAACTGGCCAGCAGTGGCCAGGCACAGAACACATCTGTAATAACCATCCAAGTACAGAAGAGAGAGCACATTAGTGCACAGAGAACCTCAATATTAGCAATGAAGGTTTGCCTCAGATATTATTTCATTGCTGTACCTTTGCTTTGCATCTTATCTGTTTTTGAATGATTATATTTACTTATTAGAGTGATGAAGACTTCAAGTCCACACAAGGTACCAGAAATCAGTGACTGATGAAAAGCTTGCTTTCTTAGATGGCTGCTTCTCCCTTGGTCCTTGCATGATGAAGGAGAAAACAGATGCTTTATTTATTACCTGCAATGTTCTTCCACTCTTATTCACCAACCCACACAGGGTCCACCTTTTTATAACTGAAGGGCCTTTTTTGTGTTTTGCTTTTGGTGCTAGTCCCAGGACTTGAACTTAGGGCCTAGGCACTGTCGCTGAGGTTTCTGGCTCAAAGTTAGTGCTCTACCACTTGAGCCACAGCTCCACTTCTGGCTTTTTGGTAACTGGAGATAAGAGTTTCATAGACTTTTCCTTCGTGGAAGTAACCTCTCCTTCCCATCTTCTCATACATTCTCATTCATGCCTTCCCTCCTGGTTAGGACTGTCAGTGAGAGCAAAGTACATTCCCTTTATTTTTTCCCATTATTTTTCTTCACAGTTCAGGTGCACAGATGTCTGTTCAGTGGGATGAGTATGACCAGTTTGATCTTCAGTGCAACCTGAGGTCACATCTCAGCTCCTTTCTGAGGATGATATAAATGACCCAGCCAGTGGCTAATAGCTGAGCTCTCTCAATGTCTCTTTTGAAATACAAAGCTGGTTCCCAATTAGGAAGTCAAGAACTAAAAAGCGGATCCACTGCCTCCATAATTCTATCTTCTACGTGCTTCGATAACGTCTGTGATGCACAGAAATTATTTATATGGTGTATGAAGTTGCCCGGAATAGTGGGCAGCTAGTTCAACATCAACAGAGAAGAAATATCTCCTATTTTGGAGATAGCTGTTTAATAAATAGAAACTCTCGTCACCCTAATTGGCAGCATACTATTCTGGGGCTAATTGAAGATGTTGAATCTGAGGAACAATGATATGGGCAAAAGAAAATATTTACTTAGGAGAATCAAAAGGAAGGAGAGTCAGGCAAAGAAATTCAGAATAATACAGTTCTATTGTTTTGAGTTAAATATGCCCACAAAAATCTAACTTGGCAAGTCTTGGATTCTATTCTTTCACACTGTGTCTTCTCTTTTTTGTATTTTGTACAGTGTACTCTGCCCCGCACATACCAACTAATCCTTTGCGTATTTCTTGATACGTTTCTTACATTCAACTACTAAAGCCTACATATGGATGGTAGCCAAATAGTAACGTGAATAATAATAACTCTAACAATTGTAGTAATATCTAATAGCTGTGGGGACTTCATCTGCATAATAACCTTTGTATGAAACCAATTGTGAGACAGAAATTACTATATGCATTAGAGGTCGCCGGGCGCCGGTAGCTCACGCCTATAATCCTCGCTACTCAGGAGGCTGAGATCTGAGGATCACGGTTCAAAGCCAGCCCAGGCAGGAAAGTCTGTGAGACTTTTATATCCAATAAACCACTTGAAAACCAGAAGTGACGCTGTGGCTCAAGCAGTAGAGCGCTCGCCTTGAGCTGAAGAGCTGAGGAACAGCACCCAGACCCAGAGTTCAAGCCCTATGACCGACAAAAAAAAAAAAAAAGAAACTGGAGGTTCATTAGTTTCCAAAACAGCTTTTAAAGTCAAAGCTAAAATATGGTAGAATCCAGAACCAAATGTGAATCTAATTCCAGAGCCAAATTTGTTGCCCTGTGTATTAGATGATGTTCCAATAATATGAATAGGCAGCTTAAGAACAAAAACCATCACTATGCGCGACAGTAACAACAATAATTACCCCAAATTTTAACTGTTACACTATAATTTAAATAGATATAAATAGGTAGATTTAGCCCCCCAAAGCAACTTGAAAACATTCGTTGCATGATCCTTAATATTCATTTCTGTTTTTTTAAAAGAAGTTAAATTGTAAAGTTCGTTTTCAACATGGTGTCTTGTACATCTCATTGTCACAATGGGTCAACCTGTATCCCTATTTAAACATTTTGTTTTTTCCCTTCCCCTCCTCACATTAGAGAAGTAAATATACAAGATGCAGGGTACCAACATCAAATATCCAATACAGTGAAAACAGAGGTTATACTGTGGGGGGGGGGGGATAGTTGTGGAGGTGGGGGGGAAGGTGGGGGAAAACAACAAAGGAGGAGGCAACAATGCTTGATAGGAAATGTACTCATGACCTTGCTCGTGTAACTGTAGCCCCTCTGTACAGTATTTTCACGATAACAAACATTTAAAAAAAGAGTAAGAACCAAACAAAAAGTTGGAAGTTTAAAAGGAAATCAGGCAATATTCCTGCTTCCTGTAGAGAATTTCCACCCTTTGCAGAAAGTAAGAGTCACTGGGAATATCAGACACAAACAATAGCCCAGGACAGATCGTGAGAATATTCCCTCTTCCAGGAACGAGGGAGGAGTCATCGTAATGTGGAAGTGAATATGACATTTCCTACCAAGGTCCCTGCCTGGGACCTTACTAGAAGCAGGACCATGAAACACTGCTGCTAGGAAATATTCCTCACCCACCTACGCTTTTTGCCAGAGACAACCACATTGTGGTAAGAAGAAGCAGAAAGCTGGAGGTAGAAAGCTGGGCTTGGTTCCAGCTTCTTCATCCATCACAGAACCCATTTCCTCACCCAAACTCAAGGTGTTTAGAGGCAAGGAGTGAAGATTCCTATCGCACACTGGGGACTCTGTTTATCTGTCTGTTCTTAAGCAAATATTCTACTATAACATTGTCTTCCCATCACTGCCACTATGTATCGAGTACTTACTGTACAACACTGTACTAAAAGCTTCCGCACATCTGATACAGCAGCCTAAATGGTGAGTTCTATAATATTCCTCACCTCAATTTTTTTTTTCAGATGAGGAAACTGAGGTTTAGGAAGTTAAAGAGATTTGTTTTCATAGCATATGTTTTTTGTTTCTTGCTTTTATGTATCCTAGGACTTGAATTAAGGGCTGTGGCCCTATCCCTGAACTTTGGTGCTCAAAAATAGCAGTCTACCACTTGAGCCACAGCTCCACTTCCAGTTTTTTGTTGGTTTTTTTTCCCCCCAGTGGTTGATTGGAGATCATAATCTCATAGAGCTCCCTGATCAAGCTGGCTTTGAACCATGATCCTCAGATCTCAGCCTCCTGAGCAGTTAGGATTACACTAGCCCTCTAGCCCCCTGTACCTAGCTCATCATGTTCAAAGATAATGTTTGCTAGCAGGACTATATACAGAAAACAGTTAAAGTACAAAATAACCAAAGACTGCTCAACTACCCACTCATATCAGTTCTGCTTGTATCAAATCCAGGAAATAAATCTATTTTTACTACTTAATCATACTCTATGACTCAGGAATCAAGAACAAAGTCCAAACGGGAGTGTCCAAACAAGCAGAGGTCATTAACTAGTCCAAAGAGAACTTCTAAGTCTAATGACTTCAATACAGTAGGAAAACAAGTTTGAACTGCACTAGGTAAAGAAATCTAAACAGACAAGACTATCATTTGAATAAGACATTACGGTTTTAAAATGCTACAAGATCTATCAGTGTTTTAGGGGAAGATAAACAGGACTTGCTTACCTTCAATCCATTCACTGTAAGCCATCACAGAGAACTTCTGACCATCCAGAGTATAAAACTCTCTCTGAGCCAGAGCCTTTCCTCCACTACTGTGGTTTTCATAGTTTCTCACAGATTCATTGCAGGAAGTGCTTCCACCATCAATGACACCAACTAAAGCCCAAGCTTGTCTAGACAGGAAGAGAGCATGTACATGTGATTACTTGTCATGGTCAAGACCCAAATCTCTTATACAGACATGATAACAGGATTCTGGCTTTCTTATTTGGTATTAGTGTGTGTGTCTGTGTGTGTGTGTGTTGGTCCTGGGGCTTGAACTCAGGACCTTGCACTCTTACTTAGCTTTTTTTGCACAAGACTGGTACTCTACCACTTGAGCCACACCTCCACTTCTGGTTTTTTGGTGGTTAATTAGAGATAAGAGTCTCATGGACTTTACTGCCCGGGTTAGTTTTGAACAACAATCCTTAGATCTCAGCCTCCTGAATAGCTAGGAATCACAGGCATGAGCCACTAACACCTGCCTTGCAGGTTGTTGTTTAGTTTTGTAATTTATTTTTGCAGATCCCCTAAGCTTCTTTTGCCATTATGTTGCAACTGTTAACTCTGAAATCACCAATGTCACAGAGGCAAATGCATGTAACTTTTAAAACCTGTCTGTCTACCTTGATTAAAGGTAAAACATCCAACAATTACGACTTAACAGCTCACAGACCTTCTTTTCCAACACATACTCACCGCACTCACCAACTTCTTGGCTTTCTTTTTAAATAATACTCACCTATTCTCTCTTATTTTTTACTTATTTGTTTTAGGATGTTTCAGACAAGACAAGCTAGAGTACTCTCCAACTCCTGATCCCGTTTCTACTCAAAGAGTGTTGAGATTACAGACATATGTCACCTGGCTTTTTGTTGTATGTTTGTTAATATGGACTTTTTAGTTGGTAGGCTTTTTGTGGTAAGGTGGGGGCAGGCTGGGATGGAAGGAATCCAGGGCCTTCCACATGGTACCGCCTAGCGGTATGGCTTGGAAAATTCCCTGAACGATTTGAATGCTCAAGTAGAGAACTGAATGTGAACAATGGTCAAACAGTGGTTCAGAAACTTAAGTCAGCATCTGAATCACCTTGGGGAGAATTTGTTAGCTCAAATGGCTGGGTGGCACCGGAAGGATCAGAGGAGACCAGCAAATCTTTATTTTAACAAGCTCCCAAGTTCTGTGGCTATAGGAGCACACTTTGAGAACCCCTAAACTAGAGATTAGAACTTAAAATAGTAATAATCAACGTTCACTGAATCTCAATCACCTGGGGTCCCTTTGATCCTAGACATTTGAATAAAGACTTAGGTGTTCAGACAAGGTTGAGAAACACTGTTTGAAGGTAGTTTTTTTGTTTTGTTTTTTTGTCAGTTGTAGGGCTTGAACTCCTGGCCTGGGCACTGTCCCCTCAGCTCTTCAGCCCAAGGTGAGTGCTCTACCACATGATCCACAACACCACTTCCAGTTTTTTGGTGGTTAATTGGCGATACGTCTCACAGACTTTCCTGCTCAGGCTGACTTTGAACTGTGATCCTCAGATCTCAGCCTCTTAAGTAGCTGGGATTACGGGCAGAAGCCACCAGCACCAAGCATAAGTTTCTTTATTTTGTTTTATTCTAAATGAATTAATCTTATTGAAAGAGTACTAATTAAAGGGCAAGTCAATTTCCATTTTCCAGGGGGTGGGACCTTGGTAATTTTCTTTTTTTTTTAGTGTTTTTTTATTGCCAAGGTGATGTACAGAGGGGTTACCATTACATAAGCAAGGTAGTAAGTACATTTCTTGTCACACTTTTTACCCCTTCCCTCATTTTTCTCCTATTGCCCTCCCCCCCAGTTGTATAGATCATTTCCAAAATATTGTCCTGTGTATATCGCTGTTGCATTGGGCCTTGTCTCGCCATTCTGTTGTTCCTGGATTGGGAGGATTAACATCATGAAAATGGCATTACTGCCAACGGCTGTCTCCAAATTCAATATCCCAGTATCTCCATCAATATCCCAACCTCATTCTTTAATAGTTTCTTAACATTCTCAAAGCCGCAGAATCACTCTTTCCAACCTATTTTCAATTGTACATGTCATTATCTACTGAAAGCAATGCGTCTGTAAATGCCATTTTGGTTCTGTAATCTTAACTATCAGAGAAACTTGCTCAAGCTTGTGGCCACTATCAGGCAAAGAAAAAGAAGACATTAACAAAGAGTCAGAAAATTTGCCTTAAGCTTCCCTGGTTCAAAACATGAAAAGAAAAATGTGAACTTCCTTCTTCAGAAATGCCACATGTAATCTATGCCAAACAGATGGCTGCATATTCAGATAAAAGTTAACCGACGCATGCCTACACCCTCATAAATTCTGCAGCTGCCCTTGTGTGGATTAACTATGCTTTAGTTTCAGAGGTCTATTTATATTCCATGATACTGCAGAAAGAGTCAAGTAAATAAAGTCTGGAGTTATTATCTCCTATTTGAGAAGGAGGGAGAGGAAGAATGTCACAGGCTTTCCTTTATTTACCAGAAATGCACAGGCCCCTAAACAATGCTCCACTCTGTCACATTATCTCCACAACACTCCTCCACACGGGAAAAAAAATCCCATGCACTGGAACATTATCTTCAAAGGAGTCAGTGTTTCTGTACACTGCAGATGATGTTGATGTACTAGACCAGGGGTGAAAGACCACAATTCGAATTCTTCTATCACATCAGCACTTATTGTGTCTGCACATGCATGTCTGTGTGTGTTTATATGTGTGCTCACACAAACACACTCCAGTCCTCAAACTGGAACTCAGAGCCTGGGTGCTGTCCCTAAGCTTTTCTGCCTAAGACTAGCACTCTAGCACTTGAGCTACACTTCCACTTCTGGCTTTGGGGTAGTTAACTGGAGAAAAGAGTCTCACAGATTTTCCTGCTCGAACGGGCTTCAAGTTTATATCCCCAGATCTCAGCCTCCTGAATAGGTAGGTAGGATCCTACAACACTATTTTAAAGAGATTTTTTCAAAACCGATTTAATACAGAGTGTAACCAATCAATATAGGCACAGCTAGGGATGATGCGAATCTACAAACAAGGATGGCATGAAGGAACAGAAGCTGTAATTCCTGAACATTACGACACAGAGTTTGGACCTTAAATGTCCCCCAAAAGCTTATGTGCTGAAGGTTTGGTCCCCAGATCATGGCACGTCTGGAAAGTATTTGAAAGTGAATGAGGGGCCTATTAGGTCATGGAAGCTGTGATCTTGAAGGACACATTCTCTCTTTTTCTCCCTCTCTCTCTCTCTCTCTCCCGGCCACCATGAGATGAGCCGCTCAGTTCTGCCACCTACTCTTTGCCATGATGTTCTGCTTTGCCACAGACCCAACCCAACAAAGCCAAGTGATCAGACACTGGAAACGCTGAGGCCATAAGCCAAAATAAATCTTTACTCCTTACAAGTGGATTGTCTCAGAGCATTTTGAGGAAGCTAATATATGTCTCTAAAGATTGGCTTTTGAGAAAATAGACTAAGACAGTAGCCATCTAACTTTGAAAAGACCCGGCTTCCATTCCTAGATCTAGAAAATAAAGGTGGTAAATGAACATCTTGTCTTTCTTTTTTTCAGTCGCAGAGTTTGAATTCGGGGCCTCATATTCATTTAACTTGTTCGACCACTTGAGCCACGCTTCCAGTCTAGTATTACTGGTTATTCTGCAGATGGATTCCTGTGGAACTTTCCACATGGACTGACTTTGAATCGCTATCCTCTAGATCATATATTTACACACACACACACACACACACACATTTAAACCTTGAGGTTTTTTTCATGGTGTGCTCTGACTCTAGACAGCCCTCCTTCTATGCTGCCTTCATAGCACAGTTCCAGAAGTTCCTCCAGAACTCAGGTTTCTGTCCTATCTCCATTAACTCCAGCTTCACCGAGTGTCTCATTCTATGATCTGTCTAGGCCTCTGTTTTACCCAAACACCAACAGATGTCCAACACTTGGCATCTTCTAAATAAAAAGTGAACAAAAGGCATTTTTATTATAGACTCTATTCCTTCATTAATTTTTTTCTCCTAGAATTTCTACAGATAGTATTCTATCTGATAGCTATCAAAGGAAAAACTAACTAGTGGTATGTCAGTATGTGGGTTACTCACCACAGATATTTCCCATTTAAGAACATTCAGTAAAATTTAAACTTCTGTTTGGGAATAGGGTTTTTGTTTTTCTTTTTTTCCTATTAAATGTTGAGCAAGCTACTTCCCCACCCTTCAGGAAATCGTGGTTTCTCAGTAAGTTCACGTAAGAACCACAAAGAGTAGAAATGTATTCTACTATGTGGATGAATTTAATTAAGCATGCCAACTTTCTGCTTCCCTCTACACAAATGAGCCAATCAAACAGATGGATTCAGATTTGCTGGAAAAGGATACCAAAAGAAAGAAAAAAAAAAGAACTCGGTGCTATTCCCTCCCTTTTAGACTTTTAAGATGGGATGCTGCCTTAACCTTTCCCCTCCAGCAGGCCAAGTTCAAGGAGCCCAGAGTTTCACTATCTTTAGGAAGTAACGAACAGAGCAAGTCTCTTCAGAGGCAAATTGACTTGGACCCACCCATGGGAATGGCCAGATTCCTCTTACACTAAACACAGAACTGGGAGGAGAAAGGACAAGCCACGCCTACCGATAGCCAAGTCCTTGAATCAGTGTACTTCCCAGCCGCTCCTGGATCATCTGGATAGTTCCTTGTAAGAGGCTCTTGACTGCAGAATCTCCCACAGCGATGGCCACGATCCGACCTGGATCTTGAACCCTTAGGAATTCCTGCAGCCGCCTACTCTCGTTTTGGTATTCGTGGGTATCAAACTTCACACTTTCCAGAATTTTGGCGGTATCTTGATCGATGACCCTCACGTTGAGGCCCCGGGAGAAGTCCTTTTCGAAGGTGTAGGACCCAAAGGGTAGGCCGGAGGCAGGTAGAGTTCTCGCCAACAATGTCCACGAGGTCTTCCGCGCTCCGTGCAACTCCAGGGACCCACCTGCTTCCACACCAATGAACTTTTTGCCAAACGTTGGCGTACTTTCCCCATCATCTGACTTTCCGTACAAGGTAATTGTCGCCTGGGATTTATAGCGGCATTTTTCTGCTCCAATATGAAGCGCTCCACCATCCTGGATCAGGATGTAACGAGTCCTCAAAGTAATATTTCCGGATCCATCTTTATCATCTCCAAAGACAAGCAGTCCTGAAAAGAAAAGGACTCATAGAAGCCAATCTGCAAAACACCATTCTAAACCGCAGAAAAATAGTTTACTTTATGAAGGAAAAAAAAATACACTTTCATTAAATAAGTTGGGAAATTTTAACTAAGGGTCTGAAGTGAATGAAGAAGAAATGAAGAGTTTAAATAGCAACCTACTGGAAATGTCCAGGAGTATGAATTCGAATCCACTCACTTTAGAGGTAAATCCTTTTGAGGAAAAAGTACTTCAGAAAGTCATGGTAATCCATGTTGCAGAAAGTCATGGTAATCCATGTTGTAACAAAAATTCAGCTATACAGCAGCTCCCTCATTTCCTTGTCTATAAGCGACTTCCTTGCCTGTGTTTCTAAGGCCCTCATAGCGCTTAAATTCTTTGGTTATATGAGGCAACTAAACACATTTCTATTGTTCGACTACACATCCTAAAAGGCATTCAGCCTATGAACAGTTTTCTACATGAAGAATAGCCAAAATCCCTCACAATCCCCCACCATACAGAGCAGCTCTGCCCTTCCCATAGGCAGAGACCCTAACCTACCTCCATCCTGAATGACTATAGAATTCACTGTGGCATCTGAGGTCAGACGGAAATTATCTCCCTCCTTGATGACAACTTGCTTTGCAGGATCTTGTCCAGGATCCCAGTTCCTGAGGTGGGGATTTTGATCTGGGCAATTCTCTATAAAACAACACAACACTCATATGTAAGGATAGCCTAAGTCATTATCCTCATTGAATATAGGTCTTCCAGTAAGGTGGTCACGTATCTCCACTTCCCGCCACTAAGGTAACATTTCACCCCTTCCCAAAGCTAACATTTTTTGGGGGGGGGGCCCGGTCATGGGGCCTGAACTCTGGGCCTGGGCACTGTCCCTCAGCTCTTCAGCTCAAGGCTAGCGCTCTACCACTTGAGCCACAGCACCACTTCCGGCTTTTTCTTTTTGCTTATGTGGTGCTGAGGAATGGAACCCAGGACCTCAGGCATGCAAGGCAAGCACTCTACCACTGAGCCACCTTCCCAGCCCCCAAAGCTAACATTTTTTAAAAGTGTTACTATAAAACTCAGATGCTTGACTAGAGTTCAGATTCTTCACAAGGAGTTCCCCTTCCCCTGAACCATTTACTCTGGAAATACACCAACAACCAAAACGCAAAACCCTGGCTTGCTCTTGGACTCATACTAGAAAGCTATTTTAGAAAAACAAAGAAAGGGCTGAGTTTGGAGCTCAGTGGTAGAAGATTGTCTAAGGCCCTAAGTTTAATCCTCAGTACTGCCAAAATTGAAAAGAGAGAGAGAGAGAGATCTATAGATGATAATGTGAATATGTCTCTCTCTCTCTATATATATATATATCAGTAAATAAACAGAAATAGCTAAATAATATATTAGCTATCACAAATTTCTGTGCACAGGAATCGCAAAGTGACAAGAACCCTACCACTGCACTCATGTTCACTTTCCCAACAAAACTGTTACAGAAAAGAGGCCAAAGTCATGACTTCTCATTTTCAGAGATGAGGAAATTATAGTTTAGAGAAGCTAGACCCAAGATTACCTAGCAAGCTGAGTGATATAAAAGTTCCGTCTTTAAGAAATGAGGTTCCTACTTGCAGTGTTCATTTACTAGAACTAGAATTTGCTTCTTGAACAGGTGATAATTAAATCATAGGGACAGATGCATGAAATCCTTAGTCTCTGCCAGAATTAGGCAGAAAGAGGGGGGAAATCACACTTACAATCTTGATTAATAACCAAGTATTTATTGAAGATCAATTGGTACATTATGTATGAGGTACATGAATGTTAAACAATGTGGCAGTTACAAACAAACTCTGACAAAGGATGGGGCTAGAGTAAATGAGACAAGTTCATGGAATAGATGACATCAGACTGAGACCTCAAAAGAATGGATAATGTTTCAATAAGAAAAACATAAAGAAGATAAAATAATACAAGAAACACAAGTATTTCATTCCATCCAAATTAATTGGGTCACTCAAGTTAAAAGAACAAGTCACCTGTGCTTTAATAGGGAAAGAGCTGGTGAAGTTGAGAACCAGCAGAAGAGAAATTCCTTTGGTTACGATAGAAAGTCCACATTGGAGACCAGTATGAAGAAAGTATAGAGGCTAGATGTAGCAAAAGATGTCTCCATAGAAGAAACGAAAATTCTCTTTCGTCACTTTGATCTTGTAGAATCCCAACAACAAAACTTTCCTAGTTCGACATACTCATGTTGCCCATGCTTATGTGTTCATTTAGACATGATAAGAACTATACGGTTCACATTAGTCTCACTACTAAGTCCTTAGCAATTATTTCATAGATTTTTTTTTCTCATGGAGGTTCATCTTCAAGATTTAATTCTTCAGATAAATCTATGATCACTCTATTATATTAAAAAAAAAAAATCCTTGGGGCTGACAATGTAGTTCAGTGATAGGAAACTTGCCTAGCAAGCCAGGAGTACTCATTTTCAACTGTCAACACTGAAAAACAAACAAACAAACAAATAAATAAATGTAAAAACTGCCCTTCCAAGTTTCTTCCATCAAAAAAGTAAGAAATACCTTGAACTTTTCTGACCAAGGACTGTTGTTTAACTTTGTCTGCCTCCCTCTACTCCCATAATACATCCATCTAGAATGTCCATGGTATTATATAAGAAGAGAATGAATGCCCATGTCACAAGTATTATGCTCAGTGGCAAAGAAGGGAATCTGGGTTTTGAGGTCTGGAGCCAACTGTAGTAGTTTCATAATTCCTCCTAATTGTTTAGAACTATGTCCCAGGAGAAGACTTCATTAGAACGATTTCCAAAAATTTCAGTCTGCTTCCTTCCAGAAAGATGTAATTAATAAGTGATATGTGGTGTGCAGAAAGACAGAAAAATCCTTCAGCCAGCCCTACCACCCCAGCTACCCAGTTATAAAGCAAGAAGCACATTTGAACTATAAAAACCACAAGGCTGACTCTGAAATAGTTCCGTATTCTACATCTTTCCATTGAGCCTGCATTTATATTACCATAATGTTAACTTGAAGAATGCTGATTCATGGCACCACATCAGAAATTCAATGTCTTAGATGAAATGGGAAAATGCAATGGAAAGCCACAGATTTCAGCTATGATTTCTACTAACCTAGTATCCTTTTATTACAGAATACTGGAGAGGGATGAGGAAGCAACAGGGAACCTTGTTATCCCACTGGAGAAGGACAGAAGAAATCAATACTACATGCAATGGAAATCAACATGAGGAATTCAAAATTCAATGGAATGGCTTGACCAAAAAAGATCTTGAACCTCACGGGTGGCTCATACCTGTCATCCTAGCTACTCAGGAGGCTGAGATCTGAGGATCATGGTTCAAAGCCAGCCCAGGCAGGAAAGTCCATGAGACTCTTATCTCCAATAAACCACCAGAAAACTGGAAGTGGTGCTGTGGCTTAAGTGGTAGAGTGCTCCCCTCGAGCTGAAGAGTGCAGGGACAGCGCCCAAGCCCAGAGTTCAAGCCCCACGACCGACCAAAAAAAAAAAGATCTTGATAAGAACATCTCTTGTTTCTGGTCTATTCTCTTAGAAGTATTGCTATACTTGCCAACCTTAAAATTTATGAATTATCTCCAGCACCCAATGTAACTAGATAAAATAATATCTGTAAGTATTAGAAATGGTAAATCCCTCTCCTGTTATATCCACGTACAAAGGCTTCTAAGATTCTAAAAAGAATCTGTGGTAGATTTGTAAAAACTAAGAGTAATCAGAAATAAAAGAGAGAGAGAGAGAGAGAAGAGAGGAAAAAGAGGAAGAGGAGGAGAATCAAGGACAAAAGGACAAGACAGGGAGAAAAAGGAAGAGGAGGAGGAGATGATGGCAGGTTTCATTGGCTCCAACATGAACCTGCCTCTGATTTTTAGACATATACATGGGATTCTCTTATGAACCAATTTTTATTGGTATTATATTAAAGCTACCTGGCAATACACTTCATTAAACACTTTCAAAGTAAGTGTATTACCATGGTGACACACTTCTAGGACAAGCAAAGTCCACTGGAACCTCCTACACAGTACTTAAATATGAAGTAATGGATGATTTTGAGGCAAATGTACCAGAATTTACACATCCAGTGGCAGTTTTCCTTCAAGGAAACACAGTGTCACACAAAGCCCTTCTTTTGGAATTATCCACTGAGCTTGTTATTTACCACAAAACACCAATATTGGTATTTTTAGTTGCTTTTTTTTAAAATTATGAAAATACCATATAGAGGGGTTACAATTACATGGGCAAGATAATGAGTACATTTCTTTTTTTTTAATTTAATTTTTTTGTGAACATACTGTACAGAGGGGCTACAATTACATGGGCAGGATAATGCGTACATTTCCCATCAAGCATTGCAGCCTCCTCCTGTTTCCCCTTCCCATCCAAGTTTCTTATTTTTAAAAACTCAAATCTAGCTTATGACTGTCTTTATTTATGTAGAACACGTTGGCGGTCCAAAAATCACACCTATCTTAAAGAATGAATTATGCTGTCATAAGAATTTAGTAAAGACTTTTATGGCCATTTCCAAAGGAGATGCAGTAATAACGCCAAGAGCAGCAAGGAAGAATAGGAAGAACGTGAAAAACTGATTTTATCATTTCCAATGGAGTTCTTGAACGTTTTTAAACATTATTCTATCTCTTCCTCTTTCCTCTTCATCTGGAATACATGCTGTGCATATGCATGCACACATACACACACTTACCATCTGGAGCATATTTTGAGGATATTCCTAAAATTACTGCAAGTGCAACAAAAAAGGAAAAACTAGTTATAGCAAAGCAAATGAAGGTATTCTTGTGTCTCTTGCGCTTCCGGCTCTCCCTCTGTGTTTGCTGCTCTTCGGGCAAAAAAGCAAAGCTGGCCCGGGCTTCTTGTCGAATGGAGGTAAATTTGGCTGAAGCCTGGCTCTTTGGAGGGGGTGGGGGGCGCAGGGGGACCACTTTCCCGGGGACATAACCAGGTGAGCGATGACTGCTTCCGTTCTGAGGTTGTAGGAAAGCTGGGGAATGCCCCCTGGAACCAGTGGCATACATGATACTCCGTCACTGCAGAAGAAAAACACAAAGCGAACAAGATTCTGAAAATGTAATGGCTTTAAAGCTATTTTGTTTGTTTCTTTGTTTGTTGGTGCAGTTACAGGGGCATGAACTCAGATCCTGAAGTCTCACTTGACTTCTTCTCTCACGGCTGGTGCTCTATCCTTTGAGCCACACTGCCACTTCCAGCTTTTTTGCTGGTTAGAGAGAAAAGTCTCCAGGATTTGTCTGATCAGGCTGGCTTTGAACCACAATCCTCAGATCTCAACCTCCTGAGCAGGTAAGGTTATAAGCATGAGCCACCACTGCCTCCTGGCTAGCATTTTTTTTTTAATTGCAGTCGAGGGAAGATAGATCAGGGAAAATGAGGCACAGCAAACAGCAACCAGGTATTTAGAAAGAAGGATTGTATTAATGGATGGCTTGACTGAACATATATAAGCACTTTATGCTTAGGCTTTCCACTTCCCATAGCCTGCAACATTTAGTAAAACAAAAAAGAAAAAGAAAATCAAAAGGTAGTTCCTTCTGACTTTATTCACTTGGCTACTTGATTAAAATACTTGGGGACTGAGCAAGGAAATCTGACAAAACAAAACTTACACTGACCTGGGAAAGGGACTCTTTTGGGGCACAAAACGTGTTTTAAATATATATTAGATGTTACAAATATACCCCAAATATGTGGCAGAATCCATCCTTTGAAAGAAAATCTAGACATCCAGTTTATTAGCAGGCCAACCATGAAGTCTAGGGAACCAGTGTAACAACAAAAATAACATCATATATAAAACATACCAGGTGTCAGAATAAAGGCAAGTACTTACCCTAAACTAACTGGCTTTGAGCTAAACCCCAATCTACATTTTTCACTACAGAGAACTGTGGATATTAAAGTACTCGTTGCATTTGTTAACAGATACGCTCCTACCCACATTTGAGCTGTATGTTACATATCTTCCCTTTGCTTTACTAATAAAACTGTATTGGTCTCTACCTTAGTGTGTCCTCAAATGCTTTTTTTTTTTTTTTTGGATGATATTACAAAGCCAGCTCAGGGCAAGACAGTCCATGAGACACTTATCCCCAATTAACCAACAGAAAACCAGAAATGGAGCTGTGGCTCAAAGCAGTAGAGTGCTAGCCTTGAGCACAAAAGCTCAGGGATGGCATCCAAGCCCCACAACCAACAAAAAAGTAAAGAAAACACCAAATCTGCAGCTTCCACCCTTGATAAAATAAACTGCCAGTCACTCGGTTCACTGCCTTCTACCACAATGCTTTCTCCACCTCACGACCAGAATATAATCACCTGCTAGTGCAAGACAGACCTCAAAATTAATAAATAAGGAAGAGAAACCTGAAATCCATGCAGCAATATTTTTTAAAATGTCCTCCCAAATAAATATAATGTGCCAATGTTCTCGATTTTTTTTAGTTCAACTACGAATAGCCAAGAATTGTCCCAAAGGTAGAATCCTGGGCTCTTTGTCCCTGGGTTTCTGGCTCAATTGGTACAGAGAGGGCTCTACCTTGGTGACTTTGAAACAATAGTCACATTGAGTATCTCAATGACATGACACTCTGTGTATGTTCAAGATGACAAGTCCATGTGTCACATGAGGATCACGAGGTAGACCTGGAAAAGCTCTCAAGAGATACAAATTCACATCAGAGTGCTGAAGCTCACTAGATTTATCTTATGGCCAAGCAATTTACAATTTTCTATTTAGGCTGTCATTTAATTATAGGTTCTGAATACACTTAGTGTAAAAGTTTGAAGTGGATCTTATCTCTTAAGATCCTAAAAAGTTGAAAAAACAGTTAAGTATCAAAATATAATGTTGCAAGTGATTTATTGTGTGTGTGTGTGTTTATGTGGTGCCAAGGAATTGAACCCAGGGCCTCGAGCACGCTAGGCAATCACTCAACCACTAAGCCACATTCCCAGCCCTCAAATGATCTTTTTTTTCAATGCACTTACTGTTAATACTATCCTTAACGCCTATGTTATTGACCAATTTAACATTTTCAATCCAACAAAATCTGAAATAGGCACCATCAACCCCATTTTGCCGATGAGAAATACTGAGGCCTGGAAAGGTTAAGAAAACTTTCTCACACTTCAGACAGCGCACAGACCCAGAATTTAAACCCAGGTTCTTAACTCTAAAGAACGATCTCGTTCTAGGGGCTCTAACTAGTTTCACTCCCCTGTCTTTCCAAACAATAGGGAGGCGGTGACTTCAAAGAATGTGTTTTACAGAACTGGCTGGAAGTAGCCAGGGCGTTAATCGCCTCAGGAATCCTTCCTGCAGAAGCTCACGATTCCTTTTTATCTGGGATCCTTTTTTAGCTAAGAAAAACTGACACTACCCACACAGCGAGTTCTTCTTAAACCTTTCTGATGGCTTTTAGACAGAGCACATATGAGAATATGTTTTTTAAATTTAACTGTTGATTTGTGAAAAGAAGAAGAAAAAAGGGAAGGAAGATAGGAAGAAGTAGGGAGGAGAGGGGGAGGAGAAAGGGGGAAAGGCAAGGGCTTGCTGGCCACACCCTGTGTTTTATGACAGAGCTCAGTGTAAATGAGATGTGCTCAATGGCTTCAGAAACTTGATGCTCAACTTCTTCCACTTAGGTCCCTGGCTTTAAAAACTAGAGCATATGACTTCATTCAATACCCTCAGAATCTCCCAGTTGGTCCTCACCCAACAATAAACAAGACTCTAGTCATAGAGATTATCAACAAACCCATTAAGCATAAAAGGGTCATTAGAGAAACTCCATTCCCAGGACCCAAGGGCTCCAGAAATAAATGGGAATAGAAATGAAATCTAATCAAGGATTGATACAGAGGTTAAAAGGGGAATCTGCAGACACAGAGTATGTCCATGGTTTACAGGTTCCATTTGCGGACAAAAATAATTATTTAGATGAAGTTTAGACTTCAAAACAAAGGAAAAGCACACCATTCAGGTGCTCTTGAAGAAACAGCTCCCGGTGCCAAGAAGCTGAGCCAAATAATGGATACTTCCTGCTGGAACAAATCAGAGTATAACAAAGATCCCCTTTATGCTCTTCCATTAACAAAGAAAGGAGTGAAGCAGATATTACTGAGTGTCAGACTCATCGGGAGGGGAGGGACGCTGCTACCATAATCAGCTCTGAAAAGAGTGGGAAGCCTTTGTGTACCCGGCTGCAATCATCCAATACCTCATTGTTTCAGGGTGAGAAAGGCTGTTATTACTTCTCAAGCTAGAGAGCCCTTTAGTAGGAGATAATGTCACCAGATGTACTCGAACTCACCCTCCTCCCCCCCCCTCTCTCTCACACACACACACACACACACAAAGCAGTATAAGAGGTTCAATGTTCAACAGAGTCAGCGATCCACTGAGAATAATCTGTGTTCTGAAGGTCACAGAAATGGCAACTTAATGAGAAAACTCGGATGGAGCTTGCCACAAACAAAAAAGCATCTTCTCAATCTGACATCTAATTATCTTTAAGTAGTTGTACAAAGGGGTTTCAGTTTCAATGCAGCATGTTGATTTATGAGTACAATACATCTTGATCAATGTCACCCCCCAAAATCACATATTGCTAACAACCATATATCAGTCTCAAACAAAGCAAAAATCGCCGGCAACTAAAATCGTTAAAAAATATAAGACATAAACACATTAAGATTTCTTTTTACACTGATGAGTTTACATTAAGTAGAGCACTATGAATCAGTTACTTAAATTTTACTGATTTCCACTTCTGGGTCTAAATGGCTCAGAGGAAGAAAAGACATTTCATTCATTCAGTAAATAATTGGGAGTTTTGCTATCATGAGAGGGTTATAGTAGTAGGTCTTACAGGGGAGAGGTAGAGAAAAGATTTTATTAGCAATTACTTGTAGCTTTTGTTTGGGCTTGGCATCCTGAAAACAAAGGAGGGAATTACCAGCCCCCTCCTCTGCCTTTCAAGCCCTCTCAGCAAGCATTTGCCACCTCTGTAATTTCACTAGGAATAAATATTTCACTTTAATACAGTATGTGTTCGTTTGCATGACAAGTTGTTTAGGGTTGTTTTTTTTTAAGGTAGTACTTGCAATGGACATTTTCTGATCTACCTTAAGAGCTATTATTAGAGCTGGTGCCTAAAATAAAGGAGATAATCCAAAATGTGGGGGAATCATACTTTTATCTCAATTCATGTTTTAAAACCTGTGGAAAACAGCTGCAATTTCACGATGAATTTAGACAGTACTTTGAAATTCTTTGGGAGAATTATTTTGTGAGTTCTTATGTACTGGAGGGTAAAAAGTAGTGTCCCAAAAGGCTTGATTATAAACCAAACAAATAGACAATTAAAAATTTGCACAGGCAGTTTAGGCAAGTAGTTAAAGTGGGTAATTAAAGATTTTACCAAGACTATGAAAAGATGATTTTCATTCTTTTCACCTTTCAGTACCTGCCTATGCAGTATTATATATAAAACTCTTTTCACAGGAAAAAGAGGCATTATTTTAACCAAAAGTTCAAAGTCTTTAAGATTCTTGAAGAAAAAACACTACTTCAAGCAAAGAAATCAATGTATTATCTATGACAAACACAATTCTAATATGAAATTCAACTGATGAGTAAAAGTTGCAATAAAACCCTTCACATAAAAATTCTAAAATAAAGAATGGCAAATACCTGGATAATGAAAGCCTTTCCCAATCATTTTAGCACATACTATGAAATACAGAGGACAAAGGGAAAAGGAACACATTATACTGTGTACTGACAGCAGAGAAATGCTGTGATGGAGCCTCAGCCAGTAGCTCACATCTGTAATGCTAGCTACCTAGGAGGCTGAGATTGGAAGGCTTGTGGTTTGAGGCCAACCTGGGCTGGGAAGTTCCCAAAGTCCCTTCTGACTTACCAGCTGGGCAAGATGGTGTGTGCCTGTCATATCCTAGCTAAGCGATAATGAGAAACCTAAATCATGGTCCACAAAAGTCATCAGACAAA